AGAAGTAGTAGCAGCAGCAGCAGCAAGAAGTCTTCTTGCGTCCAGAGCTCTAATACTGTGGACACTAGAGCACCTGAATCTTTGCCCTCAATCATGTTCTGGGCTGTAAATAGGTCTTCGTGGCGATGCTAAACAAAAAGCCATCTATATCTATCGATTGATCGATCTATCTGTCTATCCGTCACTCTACCCGCCTTTGTAGCTAGATACCTTATCTATGTATCCGTATCCATCTACCCATCGACCTATCTAATTCTCTATCTTGCTGTCTATCTAGCTAGCGATCTATCTACCTACCTATCTACCTACCTATGTACATATCTATCCATTATCTATCGGATACCTATCGGTTATCTGTCGCGTATCTATCGGTTATCTATCTATCTATCTGTCTATCTAACTATCTATCTATCTATCTATCTATGTATCCTATATTAATATCTGTCTTCATGCCATGTGGCCCGCGGAAGGCCACCGGCTTCCAGCATTAACTGACTTGAGGACGCTCGCCTTACGTGCGCGGGCACCATGCAAAGGAAGCGAGCCTGTTCTCCAGATTGAAGGAAGGAAGTCCTATCACGAAGGGCCCTCATTGGCACTATCACTACGAAGCTGCATGGGAAAGATCGTGTCAAGATGCTCTTGAAGGTCTTGTGTAGCCCCAGGCCTAAATCACAGTACATGATTGGCTTGCCGAACTTCTGCTCCCGACACTGGACTTTGACTTGTTTGTGTCAAGTCACAGCTCCGCGGCCTCGTCGAGCAGCCACCTGGCAAACCGCACTCTAGCATGACGGTTAATGTGTAATTACCCATTCGGCACACAGGCACCAGGCGCCTCTGCAACATGAGTCCCAAAAGCAAAGACTTCTCTTCACTTCTCAGCTTCGTCACTGTTGACAGAACGTACAGATCGATCGCAACACTTTTGCCACTCGCACGACTTGTTCGGGTGCGTGAAGCCTCTTAAAAACATCTATAAGACCAGAGCACCGAATCGAATGTATTGGATCAAGCCGCCGCGATGCTTCCAATCAAGGGCAGATCTGGCTTGCAGGAGAGCAGGCTGCAATGGACGGTCAGAAGTATCCGTTGGAATGAGAGTCTGCCGTACCCTTTTGGAGTGCTAGCCGTCCTTTATTTTGTTGCCAGAATCAGCAAGCGAGTCATCCCTGTACCAGCATGGGCCGCTTGCAAGGCCTACCAGTAGCCTTGATTCAGAAATGTTCGGGGGGGCTGTTGCAACGGCAGGTGCTCGTGGAGAGCAGTTGCAACCACGCTCGGGTGATAGCCCCGGGTGACACCTGCATGAGATTTGGTGCCGGTGATGCAAGCACACCGCCGCACACGTTCCACTCAAAACGATCAAATTATGCATTACCTAAAGCTCCCTAACTTCGCCCAGCGGATTCTGTGCCCGTTGAAGTGTATGGACTCTGGCAGATTTCGGGCTTCGGCATGGCTGGGCGACTTAGGGCCCAGGCTCACATGCCCACATCGCTGAAACACAAAGTCTCTCCAGAGCTTCGGCCCCGGAGTTCGCAGCAAACCGGCGCTGCAGCTCTATGCAGCTGTGCTGGTTTAGGGTTTAGGGTTTACGCTCTCACGACTCGGACTAGGGTTTAGGGTTTAGGGCTACACAAACTTTGTGCGTGGCTTTGCCATCGCACTCTCATCCTGGCCCTGCTCGCCCAGCTCTTTCCCCGACCGCGCTGGCTTCTGCCGCGGCTTGAGATCCAACGAGGTCGTCAGCATAGCGGTTAAGGAGGAGATCTGCTTCCTCAGGCAAGACTACGCGAATCTTACATCTCTTACACCTGGCCCTCACAGCCGAAGTTGGGTCCAGAAGGAACTCTCTCTCCTTCTCTTGGAGCCTCCAACCCCTAAGTCGGGTGTAGCCCTGAAAGCTTCGGAGTCAAAGCGAAGGGCGCCAGGGCAAACAACAAAGCCCGCCAAGATGCTTCAGCTTCTGGTGCTCCATTTCCATGTAGGTGTGGAATCTGCTTTGGTGTCCTGAGACATGAAGATGCACTGCAGCACACAAGTGCGCCTATTGCTTGAGCCTTGAAACAAACTCGCACAACAGGTCTGCTAATCTGAAAGCCCAGGTACAGGCTAGACCGTAAGCAGGCGGGTGGGGGACAGCTACTGCAGTCCAGGCACGCAGTAGCCATCCCTGATCGTGAAGCAGCTGTCCAATGTCTATAGCCCTGGCCTGACCTGCCAATGACTCACTCGGTGTCTAAGAGGACTGAACCAGCAGACTAAGCATACTTTCCACAGAAAGGAGTGTGTGTTTGTGTGCTTCTCGTTCGATTATGTTTCGTTAACATGGCAGTCTGGCCGGAAAGATGCATTCTCAGAAAGTGTGCCGGAAGGGATGCTTGCCTGGATCCGCAAGGCCTGAGTTAAGCCTGGGCCGGGCCTGTAACTGAAGCTGAATGGAGAGGTGTTGGAGTTGCAGGCTGTGTCCGGTCTGGTGGCTCAGTGTATTTCAGATCCCACCGAAGACAAATGCCGGCACTTGGTCTTCAACTGCAAATTCAATGCCAGCAAGCATTCGAGGTTTTGTTGCAGGTGATGCTCATGCAAACCTGGCGTTCATTCGGTTACTGTTGTGGGAAGCTGTCTGAGCGTGCTCTGCTCTCTCCAGCACGCCTCGGAATCGCAGGCAGCCCTTCAGGAATTCGGCCACTTCAACCTGACCAAGATCTGCCAGAGACATGCTCTGGCCGAAACTTGAACTGGCAAGCTGGGCAGTTCGAGATGCTCAAGCAGTGCAATGTTTAGCATCTTGTGTAACAACAGGAGGAATGGATTCCCTAAACTCGCAAAAAGCATCCGGATGTCTTCAGATTCTGCAGCCTACAGCAGAGCCCCTTGCGCCGTTGCACCCAACATGGTCTGCGCAGCATGATCCATGTCCCGGTGAAAAAAACTCAAGCGGGGCTCCGATCCGCCACCGTCCCGGTCCAAGAGTTTGAAGAAACTCCAAGCATCCTCGACCTGAGCTGATGGAAACCAACGATCGTGGGGTGATGTGGTTGCATGAGCAGGACCGGGATTGGACCTCTTGGGTTGTAGAAGGATACCACCAGTAGCGGGGAGCTACCAGGTCTAACGCGAGATTCCAGCCGAGGAGTTGCACATTGCATCCACCCGGCAATTTCGCAAGAACAAGCTCTGAGGACGCAGGACCTACCTTGCACAACCTCCCCAGCCATGCGATGATGTGTGTTTGGAACTCATGGTAGGATTATATTAGGTGCTTGGAAAAACCTATCAGGAATTGCAGTGCGTTGGGCTATGGTGCGGCACAGGGTTCTGCGTCGGCAGTTGCAGGTTCCAAAGGCGGATTACATACTGCCTGGGAGACTTCGAAGACTTGCCTTCGCGGGTCCAGCTTTCGATGCAAGCTTAACCAGAAACGAGAATTGAGGCCAGAGTCCGGTTCAAGCGGCGTGGTTGCTCGCGGGTTTCCTCTCTACACTTTTTGCCTTTGGCCTGGCTAGGACGAACCAAAATATGGAAGACATGCCTACACTTACCTGCATACGTACGTGCACATACACGCGGCGACATACTGTTTGCCGGGTACTCAGAGAATGTTTAGTGTCATTTTGGCTTCTGATGCAGTAAAACTTAAAGCTTTTCTGTGCCAAGATACATCCAAGCCGAGAGTCTCGAAGTACTCGCGGACTTCTGGCGAGTGGATCTTGGACTCAAACCTAGGGCCGAAACTGAAGCGCCGGTCTCCACATGTACTGACAATGTAGTGTATCAGAACAAGACACTCATACATCCTAAACAGTACGGAACTGCGTCCACAAAACCATTCAAGATGCGATACCTCCAGACGAGCTCAGTACAAACGCACCCTGCATTTTCCTGTCATGTCTCTCAGCGTGTCTCTGTGCACACCGCATCTGTCTTGCTCGCAGCTCTCGGCTAGCAAACTCATCTGACTAGGTTGTTTGGCTCTCAGATTTGGACAAGCCAGGATTGAACAAACAAAGATGCGCACGTACATAGCTTTGCATATCCGCAAGCACGCAGCAGCACTATGTGTGCAAACTTGCTTATGTGTATGACTCAACACAGAACGGCAAGAACAAACTAACTTGCATTCACAAAAATGAGCGCTATTAAGGCATGTGAATCCCAAAACCCGACGGCCACGGCACTGGCCGAAGGTGATCACGCCAGACTCTTCGTTGCCCAATTGGCTGAAGAGAGCCCGGATCTTTTTCAAGTGCATCTCCTGATGGCTTGTGAACCTTTATTGCACAAGTACTTATATACGTATATATGCACGTATGCATGTATATGTATATACACATGTACGTATGCAAGACGGGGAGGCACCCGCTGAAGATCCTACTACTGGCCAACCGCCAGGCTAAGGGATTTGCTTTGGACAAGAAATAGCCGGGGGGCTCCCGAGAAGTTCAAAGAAGCAAGACGACACAATCTGCCCGAGTCTATCCACGTTCAGGTCCAGATTGATCGTTTTTCTGTGTTACTACGAAACCGACCCACAAATTGGCTTCACCAAACCAAGTTCCAGTTGTTGTCGAATGCAAACCATGCTTGGGAGCCGCAGCTGACATTGAACTCTGGGTGTCTTAGTCCGACCTTGTTGGCCATCATATTCTGCACGGCCGTCGCGTGATCGTTCTCGGCGCTCTCGATGGCACTCTGACCTTTACCGAAGTGAAGCACTGCGAGACACGACTGAAACACCATCGTGACAAACAGTAAACTGACAAACTACATCATCGTACTCACAGGCCCCTCGTGGACTTGTGGATGTTGTCGAATCATTGCAGCGTTGTGGCATTATGATCTTGCACTCAGGCAGCCGCAAGCTGGAACTGATTTTACGCTTCCTGCTACCACGTGATCAAGCTCTTCATCTACTGGCCACCATGTAGCAACAAACCCGATCAGAAGTGACAAGGCTCAGAAGACTGCCGTCAGCACATTGAGGACCGCGAAGTACACAAAACACACATAAAACCTCGTCTCAGGACACGATGCTTCCGTGGCATGCTTGGAGTAAGATCAACTCGGAAGCAACAGATGATCGCAAGCGCGACATGCAAGCGCTAGTATATGTGTATGCATGTACATGCGGATAATGTTAGTTATTATAGATAGGTGGGTAGATAGATAGATAGATAGATAGATAGATATGGAGAAACGATCTCTCTATACATATATGTGTAGACTTTAGAAATATGTGTCTGCCGACTGTTCGGCTTCTTTGTCGTCCACGCATCGTCCTTTGTCCGCAGCTTGGGAATTTTGTCAAATTTAGTCCACGTGCACCAGGAAAATGTTCACGCTAATGTATTTGGACAGCTGATTTCCACAACAAACACCAAAGAGTTGGAGACTGTGGAAAAGCAACTGAAAACAACCTGTTTGTGCCGAAACCTGCCGATGGAAACCACATACCAGGTGTCACGGGCCAACATGCAGCCCTGTCTTCGTGGATACTATAGCAAAGGTGCTCTACCAACTCGTGGTTTTCCTGCATCAACACCAAACGATCTCAGTATGAAGCCCAGCAGTACCATTGGAAATCAAATCCTCGTGTGGGAACGGGCGCTTGCTTGAGTACATGTTCGGGAGCTTCATGGAAGCTACGTATACCATCTGCAGCCAGGGAGGCAGGAAAAGGAAGCTCCATAACGGCGAGATCAGGTGGAGGGGCCGGTAAATTTTCCTTTCTTCGCGGGAACATTTGGTATGTCTTGGCTCACGAAAAGTCGGCAGCAAGGCACGATACAAGGAAGCCTGCTGAACGCACAAGGCAAGCCAAAACAGCCGAATAAGCTCCCTTCGGACTTTCCTTCCGGACAATCTGGAAACCCTGTAATTACACGTGGATAAATGTGGATAAGATTTCCGGGAGAAGTCGACCTGACCCACGTCTGCAACAGGGCAAGAGCTACAATGCAGAAGTGCACCGCAAAGGCTCTCCCAGCTCACACCATCTGTCACACTCATGAAGAGGCTGGCCATTGTGTCAATCAGAGTGCCGTAGAAGGTCCTGGCCGTTCTCTGTGGATGTCGGCGTGGCACCCGGCTAGGAGGCTGTGTGGTCGCATTGCAGTTGTCATGGGTTGGCCGGAATTAGAAACAGATAGCAGTAGCAAGGACGAGGTCTATTAATTGCGCTCAAGCTGCAGACTTACTTCGAGCTCTGCTGCGGGCAGCTGTGGAGCTTCAGGATCGTGAAGGTGACCTGTAGTAGGCCATGCCCCAAGATTGGTCTCGAGTCTCACAGCCCCATCAAGCTCGATTTAATCCGTCCTCTGTGCCTAGCTGCTGCGGCGAACTCAACTGAGTGCTGACGACATGCTCTTGCCTTCGAGTTGCCGTTAACAGCCTGTGTGAAGATGAGCGCAAACACATAGACAATGAGAAAAAGCAGCACCAATGCCCAAAACCTGACCATCACTGCACCAGCTTCAGAAATTAGCGCCGCAATTCGTCCTGGATTCCTGGATACCCCAGAACCTATCAAAGTTGCCTTTCTGCACCCTTGTGCAAGACGGTCGATTTGTTGCCTGCCCGGCCCATTGGGTTCGTTTCTCCCAGGCCGCCAAGGAGCAAAGCCTTCAAAGTGTGAAGAATGGAGTAGACAAGTGTCCTCAATGCCAGTACAAACCGGAAGATGCGCATCAGGCGGACGGTCTTCACGATGCGCGTGATTCGCACAATCCTCCGAGGCAGCGGTTGGTTCGGTGTTTGAGGGAGGCTGGTCTTACAAAGTGAACAAGCCATGTCCTTCCCCGCTATGTCGTGTAGGGCTAGCTGCGACATGCTGCGAGTTTGAACAGCTTGCATGCTGGCCGCAGTACTAGGGAGAATGACATGCAGGAATCATCGAGCAGTGCTGTGCAATCACCAAATCCTGACGTGCGCTCGTGCCCTAAACTAGACAAATGGTGCATGACATGCACGCACACACATTGCGTCCTGAAAGCTCTGAGGCCGGCAAGGCCTCCGAAATTGTCTATACTGGTCGAACCGTCATCCTTGCGGCACGTGTAAGCTTCGGAGCTTCGGTGGAGTGCAGCATACGGGTGGAGACCCCTCGTCTCTCGCGCATTCCCTGTGTCAACTTAAACTCAGACGAACAACATAAGCAATAGCAATGAAGGCTGGGATGAGATACACATTCATGTACGCACCGAGGCACTGATCAAACAATGTGAGAACATGCTGCTGCCAAGTTGTATCGTTTCCACGGGACGGGTCGGAAGCATCAAGAGCTTGTGGTGTAAACATCAATAAAGCCCAGTTCTTCGGGAGAACGCAAGCGAGAAATGCAGAAAGACAGTGAACGAGATTCTCGTCGTCGTCAAGTACCACAAACATTTAGCGAGCACATTCTGTCTGCATGTAGCTTCGAACACAGCTGTTCAGCGTTGCGTTGGGCTACTAACCCGTTCATACAGCATAGCAAGTCGCCTATACCTTGTCAGCGAATCAATGGGAGGCAAGTAAATCCCTCCGTTGCAGCCAAACCTGCAGACGACAACCGATAAACAGCAGAATCCAGGACATGATATCCACTTGTTTACACATGTCTCCGCAAATGCACTTCAGCAGCATCGCAATGCAAAGCTGCGATTTCCGGGCAATGTTGCCTGGTTTGAAACCTGACTCGTGCACTCCTCCCGAATGCTTCCCCCGGCCCCGCTTGAAACTCCCGGCGGACACTGCACTGTGCTACTTGTCTACACAAAGGCAGATGCAAGGCGGATGGGTTGGACAAGGCGCGCAGGCACATGTACAAATGCACACGCGTGCCTCTAAAAACCCATAAAAGAAGCACAACTCAAATGTTGTGTCACACACTTGCACCGCCCACATTAAACAACTATCTCGATCCGTGCACATATGGTGTATATGTATATGGATATGTATATGTATAGGCAGGCCATAGTATCAGTCTTAAACCACCTAGTGACCTCAGCCCTGCACTCTTCCGGAAGAAAGAAGTTGCAGCAAATGACACGATGATCAGAAATGGCCTCCATGAATACATCCCTGTTAACCAGGTGGTAGTCAATGGCACGATATCCGCCCCGCCTAGTCGGACAGAGATCCCCTTGGCAGTCCCTGAAACCTTGAACCCTAAACCCTCCCTCTCTCTCTGTCTCTCTCTCTCTCTCTCTCTCTCTCTCACAGGCATTCGATACGTCAAGCCTGATGGAAGGGCTGCACTTGCGGCCCTAAACCCTAAACCCTAAACCTCTTAAACCAATCGTCAGCAAAAGCACAACACCCAACCATTCCACAGGAAGCTGAATGGCCCAAGCCGTTCCACAGGAAAGGAGGGGGGGATGACCAAATGGAGGGATCACGCAACCCTATCTTGTTTGTCATATATGCATACATCATAAGTTGTATGTATGTAAGTATGTGTATATATATATATGCAATATGTATATACAGATTTGCGTGACCTCTGTGCAGAAAACGGGCCTCGCATCGTGAATGGTGCGCTTTGCGACATCAATCGCTAGCACAATGTTGAAATAGTTTTATTGAGATCCTTCCTCGACACCTATTATATGTGCAGAAGGACACGTTGATTCTGACGGCACACCATGCCTTCGCTATATGGTGACAATTCTGGATTAGTATAAAGCTGCCAAACCTCCCATGATGTCATGCATTTTACAGCTTTTCTGTGAATGACTATGTTTTATGGATCGCTATGCTTTTAAGAGCCTTTGGAGCGTTAGGGTACATGTTGGCTTTGATTTATTTTCCCCCCCTGCTCTGAATGTGTATATACAGATGAATTTGCGAGTGTACAGCTACAGGCTTACTTACATCGGTTCATTCAGATAGGCACCAGTACGTAAATGCATCGAGCTAATGATTCATTTGCGCTCTGAGACAACATCCCTGGCACATGCTGATGCGAAAATGGAACGTTAGCAAGGCCAAGCATCGACGAGAGCATACCAGGTATCTACGAAAACCTCCCAAAGGGAAGTAAGCACGATGAAAACATCGAGGGCTGCCCACGCCCAGTCCTGCGAAATGCACGGGCTGTGCAGGCACTCTGAAGTTCCAAGAGTTGGATCGACACTATGATGACGACTCCAGAGGCCCTCCCTCTGCCGACACAGTCACCACTGTTGCTACTTTTCAGGCAACAGAATACGGAGACATGCAAAGAAACACAGATGACGAATGTGTTTGGGTTTAGGACGAACAAGATGCTGAGGATCCAGACCTGAGATTCTGAATTTGGCTTGGGGGCATAGCTTTCGCTCAACATCTATGAACAACAGCTACAAGAACGACTATATAGCATTGAACTGGAATGTGTTACTGCGACTGTCTCCGAATTAGCGGGACCATGTCCTCCGACATCTAACAATTCTAGGCGCCTAGGTGCCGAGCTTTGCTTGAAAGCCTGCATGTCTCCTGCGCGCAGAAATATTCCTTGCCGTAAGCAGCTGCGCGGAGGCCAAGCTCTACACAGAAGAGTGCGGTGTAGAAATACTGTATGCCGACCTCGGTGTCGTAGGTGGCGGCTTCAGGTTGGGAGATCCATCAGGGGCAGAACAGCCTTTCAACACGGACTAGAGTCTAGAGTGACTGGGACTAGGTGCTGGAAACCGTGCCTCGGTCCCAGATATTGCTTGCGTGCTTACACGTGCCCTGCGAAGAGCCATGTTCGGAGCCGGGACGGAACCCTGCGATGCAATACGGCAAAAGGTGCCCCAAAACTCCCAGGTGATATCCGCTACTCGCAGAAACAGAAGCCACGTGGCCATGATAGGCGTGCGCGGACTCATAGCCATGGTCGGGTTCAGCTGCACATCGATGCCAATGAAGATTGCGTTCGAGATTCTCGGATGCGGGGTGTCGTTGACAGGTTGTTTTCGATGCGTCGCGTGAGCATTGCGTGGTGCCTGTGCAACGCACTACTGCCCTGGAGTGATTCCATCATGTCATCACTAGTTATGCTCGGCACCACCGCCACGACGACGACGACGAAGACAACCCCGACAACCACCACGACCACCAGGACCACAACCACAACCACAACAACAACCACGACGGGCACAACCACAACAACCACAACGACGACGACGACAACAACAACAA